AGCACCTCCAGCCACATGGACTTCTTATGGACCCTGCCACGGTTTCCCACTGGACGCTAACGAGGACCACCATGGTCATGGATTGATTTGGAAACATTTGGAGATACGAAGTACGTACTGTAGGCTGAAGCTTCAGCCTATCCACATCGACCTATTGATCCGAAACTAACTTGACTGCTGTTGAAGGAGCATAAGATGTTCTGGATGATTTGCTCCGCTTTCATCTTTCCTGGCTTCATTGGACGTTACTGGATCTGACTGGATTATACACTGGATCAACAACTTCTCGCCAAAGGACTCGTGGATGTTTCAGCTCACCCGCAATGCCGTCCCTACCGCCCCAGGAACCAGGTCGCTACCTCGCAGACAATCCCAATCTTACTGGCTTCCTAAGGTGCGTGCTAACCCCTGACGCCTCTGCGCTGCTTTGACTGACTCTTCTATAGGCATCCTCGGACATACTAACATGGCGTTTTCCTTTGTATATCTTCACGAACATGTTAGGTTTGCGCGTTTGGATACTAACTTTGGTGTCCAGCGACTCTTTCTTCGACTCACCACCGGAGAGTGCTTTCTACATCTCAAACATCACTGAGTGGAGGAAGGAAATCCCAGCCCCGGTCGTTTCCGCACCGGACTTTCCTTTCTCTTCAGACTTCCAGGACATGCACACAGCAGAATTCTTTGAAATCAAGGATACTGCTTCGGAGTGCAGCATGGACAGCGCATACCAGAGCCAGAGCGGCGCCAGCCGGCGCGGAGCCCAGAAGCCGGAGCTACACCACCAGGATAGCCGGATCAGCAGCCAGTTTGTTGGCAGCGACATCTACTCGCCGACAATGAGCTCGGAGAACTACAGCACATTCCCGGAGACCCTGGACATGAGCCACATGCAACCAGCCACATCCGGATCATGGAATGCCACAGAGGGACCCCTCACATATGCTAATTACTCTACAGCTCAGGACTACACACACTACTCACCAGCGAACATGCCTCGCTTCGCACCTTCCACCCTCGCCGACTCACCACAGTGGGCTACATCCGAGACCACCTTCCAGAACAACCCCTTCACCTTCACATCATGGCCGACAAACGACACCATGTTCAACTCGCCTCAGCGATGGCACAGCGCCTCGTATGATGCCTCAGAGCGTCCCGCTACCCTACGCAACTCATCGTCATACTCTCTCCAAGAGGAGTCACGGCGAGCTTCAGCACAAGACGCTGGCTTCGGCGCTTTCGTCGGCACCCCGACCAGCACCGCCAGTGTTCACTTCCCTCAGACAGTCAACGTTCTCGAGGACACCAAGCCCGCATCTGTCGCCCACTCAGTGGAAGACAACGAGGACAGCCTCTCCCAGTCTGAGGCAGCTGAGACCAAGCTCGAAGAAGAGCGCACCAAGGTCGCCCGCAGCCACCCTCTCTACCAGCAGACACCAGACAAGGATGGAAAGTACCACTGCCCTGAGGAGGGCAAGGCCGGATGCACCCACAAGCCCACCGCTTTGAAGTGCAACTACGAGTATGTATCATTCTTACACAACCCAACATGCACTGACACCTACAACAGCAAGTACGTTGACTCTCACCTCAAGCCTTTCCGCTGCAACAAGAAGACCTGCGTCGGTGTGCAGTTCTCCTCTACTGCATGCCTCCTCCGTCACGAACGTGAGGCGCACGGTATGCACGGTCACGGCGCGAGGCCGCACCTTTGCCACTTCCGCGACTGTGAGCGCGCTGTGCCAGGTCACGGCTTCCCTCGTCGCTACAACCTCTTCGACCACATGAAGAGAGTGCACCAATACGATGGGCCCACTACTGAGCCATCCCCGCCTGTCCAAGGACAGGCTCCTCGCAAGTCGGCGTCTCGCAAGCGCAAGGCGTCGGCTGAGGAGACTGGTGACAAGCGCGTCAAGGTTGTCAAGCTCACTGCCGAGCAACAACGCCAGCAGCGACGAGAGGCTCTCACCAAGGAGTTCTTGAGCAAGAAGCAGCACATCATTGATGTTCTGACCAATCTCAGTGCCCCCAACGAGCTCGGCGACGACATCCAGTTGACGAAGGAGGTCGTTGGCCTCCACGACATCTGCACTCAGTACCGAGATGTCTTCGGCGGCTGAATGAAGCACACGTCTGGTAGACTCCGTCTGCAGAGACAACCGCCAGCAGGTTTGTCATCACAAAGCCGGACCCCTACCCTTGTTTTTTCAATGCATACACATCGCGTTTGATTTTCTGCGTTCTCCGAAAGCCGGATGGATTCCCGCATGCCTCGCGGATGAAGGATCATGACTTCCCACAAGTCTCGGATGGATGCCACTTGCCCTGGATGGCCACAAATCTCCGGAGAAAACCCAGGATACAGAGCCAAGGACATGTCCCAGCCGTGGACTCGGATGCCAAAGGATAGCTAGTCAGCTTTTAGAGCGACAGCAACCCCGCTGAGGGGGAGAAGGACTGAGGTCTACTCATTGCACTATGCATGGCATGAGTTGGTTGATGTATCAGATTGATCTAATGTTAACGGAGGAGTGTAATTAGTACAGTTGTATTTCTTTGGCTAGTTGTCAATTCTCGGAAGGATGACCATGGAGAAGAGGTCGGTCTTGTATAGCCATCATTACCCGCCGCGCGGACGTTGGTGGCTGGAGGAGAGATTGTTCTTGCTTTTGTACGTAGTTTTGCTATTTATATTGTTGTTGTTTTATCAAAATCACTCTTCATGTGCATGTGTGTGTGTGTGACCTTTGGTGTCGTTGATGGCAATAGGTAGAGTGTGCCTGAGCTGCTACGTCGTGGGCGCCCTCACCAACTCCGGCATACTTCGGCAGCCCCTCATGCTTCCAAATACCTTCTCTTTATCTAAAGAAGCCGATCGCGTGAAGTCCCAAATGTAGCAAGCAATCACCGAAGTCGTCAACGGCGCCCCACCGCCAGGTGCATTTTCGTCCGTAGTACGCAGTGGGTGGGACAAGCCGAGGTTGTGTCTGACCTGTCAGGCCCGATGGCCAGAGCCAAAGATCGGGTCTCCATCAGGGTCTTATTGCGTAAGCCCAAACCGCCAGTCAAACAGTCGTGCCTGGCTAGACCGAATCTTCGAGTAAGCAAAACACGGTCAACGGAGTTCCGCGTTTGCGTAGGATTTTAGGATTACGATTACGATCACATGCTATGATTCGATTGGGAGGGGCGACAAGCCGCACAGCCCCGCGTATCGCGACGAACTTCAGACCTGTTTTGCGACACGACTTAAAGCTCCGAAGCCTTACCACCACTTTTGCACCTTGCGCTTATACCACTTCTACACGCTCCTACATACCTGTTTTCGAGAAGACGACTGTCTTCGTAAAGAAAGAAGAACCAGGAAAGAAAGCACCCTACACAACCATGGCCTCCGCAACGAGCTTCTTCGACTTCAAGCCCAAGGACAGTACGTCACACCTCTCTTTCCTCTCCCTCTCGCCCATCTCTCTTCGCAACAGCAACTAACAACCCCACGCAGAAAAGGGCACCCCCTACGACCTCTCCAAGCTCAACGGCAAAGTCGTCCTCGTCGTAAACACAGCCTCGAAATGCGGCTTCACCCCCCAATTCGAGGGCCTCGAGAAGCTCTACAAGGACGTCAAGGCCAAACACCCCAACGACTTTGAAATCATCGGCTTCCCGTGCAATCAGTTCGGTGGCCAGGACCCAGGCTCCAACGACGAGATTCAGGAGTTTTGCCAGTTGAACTATGGCGTTAGCTTCCCCGTGCTGGGAAAGATTGATGTAAGCAACGAAACGAACGAAACCACGGCTTATGCGATACAATGAACACACGCTAATTCACTTCCTTTTTGTTGCGCATAGGTCAACGGCTCTTCCGCAGACCCCGCCTTCGAATGGCTCAAGAACGAGAAGCCGGGCCTCATGGGCCTCAAGCGCGTCAAGTGGAACTTTGAGAAGTTCCTTGTTGGCAAGGATGGAAAGGTTAAGGGCAGGTGGGCGAGCACGAAGAAGCCTGAGGATCTTAAGGCGGATATCGAGAAGGAGTTGGCTGGTAAATAAACGGGCGTGGGCGTGATGACGGCGCGACGGGCATAACGAGGGGAGGGCTTGATGCCGGGAGGAGATATATATGATGGAGTATTGATACCACTTGCATTGAATGGAATTGATGGCACTATGAATGGAGCGGCTGCGCGTAATTGTGGCCGGGCAAATAGCACGGTGCTCGGTGATGGCATTCTGCTGACCATAGGAAGGGCTGGAGTATACACCGAGTGTACTTCTTACGTCCTCATCGCAACAAGAAAGCAGACGTATCGAGCGCCGCACTATACAAAACGGACGTTGTAAAAGCCATGGAACCCCGCAGTAGCCGCTACGCTGACCGGACTCAACTCTTCCAAAACACACACGAAAAAACACATGGGCGACGCACTTCTGTTCTCCAGACTTCGCTAGCGGATTTCGGATGTAGGTACAAAATCTCGCTGAAAGACCTTCTCACTCCTTCCATCATACCTTTCCACTCAAAATTCTTTTACCAAAACTTCATAGCACAGTACCTCATGTGCGTTCCTTCCTTTAGCGTTTCTTGATCGCTGCACCAAAATTTGCGGCTCAAGACGACATGTCTGCGTCTCTGGCAAAAAGGCCGATACCAGAAAAACCGAGGATTACAGGATCATGTGTTACCTGAATCCCGTCTACATACATACCTTCGAAGATTCCCAAAATCGCGATTCTGCAATCTTATGAGTCGAGTGCCAGCGGACAGACCTTTCCAAAAGAAAACCGAGATATCATCATACATACGAGATCAAAAACACATAATAGAATTTCATGTTCCTGCTGTCCTTCCTCCTTTCCGATGCACTCATCTGCGCAAACTAGACTACTAGTCGTTTATGTTTGGTCGTAGCCTAGGGAGCTAGATAATATATAAACAGTGTCTTCTACACCTTTATTTCTTGTTCTATGTTTTAGTATCATTAGTAGTATGTACTTCTGCAATGGTCACGGATTCCGTTTCAGAGAGTGAGACCTCGCGGAAGCGATGGAATAATCGAGCAAGCCACCTAGGCCGCCCATTCGTACCGTGCCGCAATCCTTCGCTTCGCGACTGCCTGGACTTTCTGCAGGCGCTCATCACGCTATTTTTTCCCATTGCAAATATTTCAGCAATCCGCGCAAAATCGGCCTGGCCACCTAAGCCGCCTCACGACACATTTGTCAACGTCACCATATTCAGCCAACCCAGGATCACCAAGTTCGTCGACAGCCTGCGCAAAGTGCCCGAGGGTGAAAGCATAGAGCAGTTAGAGCTTAACGATTACCTCCAGCCTTGGGGATTTACCATCTATCGGACGCATTATGGACCCGGATCTAATGAGCAATGGGATAAGCTGCTACAGAACATCACCACTGGTGTTAAGCATCGACTCAAAGCGGCTGGAGAATCAAATGAAGACCCTGCCATGATTACCAAAGCGGAGGAACTCTTCAAACTGGATGCTCGTTCAGATCCCGCGGTCCTGGACGGCTTGACACTGGAAGAAGTACGGCAGCTTTACCACGATGGAACGGGAGGCCAGCCATTGAACAAAGACAATGGTCCATGGCGAGTCTCTATCCTAGTCGACGCAGACGTGTTGGCGAGCCCTGACCTTGGCATGATCAAATGTGTAGCGGCGGATTACGACGCGGCTGCTGCTGTGCCAAAGAATACGACATTCGGCCCCCAGCATTACTTTGGGTGGTTAACCATGTCTTCCGAACATGTGTTGACTTTGTGGTTTGAATTGGAAATGTATTTCTTCGAGGAAATCGGCAATGGTACAGCTGGTGGCCCAGGCGCCTGGTGGGACCCAGACAAATGGTGATGGGCCAAGTCCACCTCATAGCGCAATACCGCTGTGCTCCAGGGCTGCATGCGAAATGTAGCTGAGTTGCTTTGCAAACCGATGGTCATGTAGCTTTTAGTTTATATTGGATCGTGATCCGAGGAGCTAGATGGTGTATAAATGATGTCTTCTACACCTTTATTCCTTCTTCTACAACCCCGACACCTTTTCAAAAGTTTATTATCAAAAATACCTACACCACACTGACATGAGTGTGAGCTCCCTCCGCTCGCACGAGAGAAAACCAAAACATGATACCTGCTATATCAGACTGGCGACTCTCTGTCTTGTCAAAATTGAACACATTCCTATCTATGACTTCGGTTGTTCCAAAAAGTCGCGGCCACACTCTTTCATGAGTGTTTCCTCGGCTCTGCACTCAGCAAGAGCATGCTTTCTACTGAGCCCAAAAATCCGCGTTCTGGATAGCAATGCTGTTACGAAACAACGTGAACCACTGCTCATGGAAGCAAGACCTTCAGCACTTCGCTACCCTCCTGTACCAGAAAGAGGTCGCAAATGTACCAATGTGTCTTTGTCTGCATCTCGCTCACTATAAAAGATGTGCGACTTCCCGCATAGTTTCTCCTAATCTATTACACAAAACTTCTGGTACTTTATTACAAAAAAACGATCGTGAGGCGTCAGATGGACTTGTCGTTGCGTTGGTCTCTCCAAAACTCTTTTCATGTGTTCTCATGCGACGAGAAGGAAGCCCCTTCCATTCCTTCCAGGATGCCAATGTCAAAATCGCCGAGACTTCCAAAACAGTATTATGAAAGGTTATACCATGGGCATTCTCTGAGTACAAAGCAGGATGCGGAGTCCCTATGAAGCGGGTGCACTGGCAGCCAAAGCGCATACCTTCAGTATCATGTGTCCACCGAGGACCACCACGACTGCGCGAAAATCAGTCGCCTATGTCAATGCCAGCCTCTATATTCACCTTCACGTCTTCCCCGGTTTCTGTGATGTACCGTCATTGCTCTCGGGAGGAAAATTGAAGACCAGAGGCTCAGAACACATGTCTGGTGGGCTGGCCTGCTGTCACAATTACTGGGCCGGGGGCGCGGTGGTAACTATGCAGACGCCGGCGATCGACACCTTTCGAAAAGTTACCCGATTAGGAAAGTGCTCACCCACCAAAATCAAGAGAGTCACGGTAAATGAAAGCTGTTCTGAAGTACATGAGATGTGATATACGGGAGCCGACCGAGTTGAAAACTAGGAAAGATAGTCCTGATGTGTTTTTCTCTGCAGTCTGGCACTATAAAAGCATCTTTACCAGTTATCTATTGCCTTCCAACCTACAACTATCGCCGATATTTCCAAAAACGAAAACGACGGCAATGATGTGGCGATTGCGTCCTTCCCAGCGCTTTATTTCTCCAAAAATACAACATCCCACTTACAAGCCATGTCTGCCCTGGCGTCAGAGATCGACCGAAACGTCAGCAAGAAACCCAGCGATGTGTCTCTGTGACTACAAAAGAATATGGATTCACCACCGTGATGTCTTCCTCGCCTCCATGAGCGTATAAATACCTGATTCCCTCCTCCTGTTCTCTTGCTTATCAACTAACACATACCTTGGGTTCCTCGATTCGAAAAAGACGGTAAAGACATACATGTTGCCAATGCCTTTCTAGAACACCCTACGAAACGAAGATGCCCGAGATCAGCTACGTATGGAGATTGCTGGGCGATTGAGTCCTCAGTCCTCATTGAGACGCCGGAATCGAGCCAGAGAACTACTGAAGTGATAATCCGGTCTGAACCATGTGTCCTTCTCGGTTTGTAGGCTACGTCAAAAGCTGCATTTCTCCGGCGTATGGTTCGTGTACAGTAACTTCCTCAGAAAGCGCGCTGTTCTTTCAAAACATGGCTGAGAGAAGAGCATGCCTCCTACCTTCTTCGTTCTGGTTAGCACATAAAACTCTCCACTAAAACCTACAAGAATTGCGCTCATGGCTTGCCCGGATCGTCTTCTCCACACAATGAGTTTCTTTCCTTCCAAATTTTGTCCAAGCATCAACCAACTTGATCTGATGCGATCGGCTTTGAGCGGATCATGGTACTATATAAGCTTCCACTCCCAGGATCCTCTCTCACTCTTCTACATCCACCGGGCCTCCTCGCGTTCCAACAAAAAGCAGCCACAATGACATCCATGTGCTCCTCGCTTCTCCCCCTCGTTGTACCAAAAAGCTGAACTCTTCGAAGAATGGTGTAAGGACTTCTTGCCTTAGATCTATCACGATACCATCTCTTTTCCAAACCACTAAAGCAGTCGTCCATGGGTATCTACGGAGCAGTAAATGCACTTGCGCAATGAGCTTAGCGCAAATCTAAGTCTACATAAAGATCAGGAATCTTACTTCTTCTTCGCCATCACTTGCTCGAGAGTTTTCCAAAAGATAAAACAAAAAGACAACCCGCCTGCTCCATGTGCGCTGGAGTTTTTGTTAAGGTTTGCATTTAGCGAAACCAACGAAATGAACAACAGCGGCTCACATGGGCGGTGTTTAGCGGGGTGCAACCTAACGAATTAATGAGGTGGAGAAAGATCGTAACGAGGAGTGATGATGATGAGCACCATCATCACCGCTGATGACAACACTAAACTGTACGGATATTGGTATCCGGAAGATCTAGGCATGCGACGGGTTCGTATGGACACAAAGTACACAGGAAGTATGACGAGGGATAACAGAAGGCGAGGTGGAATTCACAAATGTGTGACTGGTCGAACAAACAGCATGCCCCATCATGTTATTGTAGCCAAGTCGCACTTCGAACAAACGTATAGCTTCTCTTCATCAAGATCTTGCCAGCAAGACCTCGAGTCGCCAGCATCTGGCGTCGTCATCAACAGGTTGACATCGTCTATATATTCTGCTCTTTGGTTCTTCTTCTTTCTCTCAGCACACACTCCAACTTCGTAAATTAGCAATACTCACACTACTCCAACAACCTACTATCTAATTCAATTAACAATGGCGAAGAAATCGGAGAAGGCACCAAGCCGGCAACACATATTAGACGGCGCCTTCGCAGCCAGTCCTCATGCTACTTCAGAAGGCCCATGGACACACCATTATGAGGACACAAATGGGCGCACATCCACGGCACAGTACTGGCTGCCAGGCCAAGATCCCCCAACGGACGATATGCCACGCCACCCCAAAAAAGGATACAAGGCAGGCCGTGAGCGGGCTGAGAAGGCCGGCTGGGACCAACGTGGTATGAGAGAAGGATTCCCCATGGGGCATTTCCAGGGGTTTCATGATGCATACGATGACGTGGAAATGGGAGGGCAAGCTTATGCGAGGGGGTTTCAACGGGGAATGCCCGTTGGAGGAATGTTTGGGTATGATAATGGGTATGAGGACTATGCTCCTGGTGGATATTTTGATGACTATGATGGAGGATTCGATAGGTATGGCGGATATGGCGGGTATGATGAAGGTTACGGTGGATATGGGGGAGGGTTTGACGGTGGATACGGAGGATACGATGGCGGACATGATGGATACGATGGGTATGGCGGGTACGATGATGGATACGGTGGGTACGGTGGTGGGTACGATGACGGATACGGAGGAGGATACGGAGGAGGATATGGCGGAGGTTACGGTGGTTACGGTGGAGGGTTTGGAGGCTATGGGTTTTACTAGGCATCGCGAAAAGCTCTAGCGCCCGAAGGCGATGAGTGCTTTATGCCGAAATTCGAATGACTGCTTCAGTTTGATACGACGTTATTGTCTAACAGTAGTCTCTCCAACTCGCTGTTTTTCCCCCACGTAGGGTTGCTTTGCCGAAATAGGATCGATCAGGAATGCTACCACCCAACGGTAATATCTGTACAAAAGAACTTTCAGTACTTGAGCTGCTAACCTGATCGAATTAGTCAAGATGTGAAAATATTTCGACTGCTGATGTTTGCAGCGCATTCGACCGAATGATAGGCTTTGCAAAGTCGCAACTTCGTGTACTTTCTCACGCTATGCAACCGGGTCTGTTAATGCATCAACGCATGACTTGGTTCCGTCGTCAAAACAACAATCAGCCATGAGATACCGGTGCACGTATTCCAACCGGGCAATATCGATATCTGGAGGGCGTGCGTTTCCCATTTCGATTATCGATTGCCGCTTCGTGGCCCTACCGCGTCAACGGTGGCAATCTCCCGAACCAGATGTATAGAGCGTGCCATGCCGTGCCACCACATAAAATGCAGTATTCGAAGCCGTGATGCCGATCATGGCAACAAGCATGGTGGTAGTGTGGCAGGTGCGACATGCCAATAACTCGGGGCCTCGCGTTCAGCCTCGCTATCGTGCTAGTGCTCGGCTATACAGCAAGAATAGACATCGAGGTGCTTTTTGTCAAGATTGAGAGATGCGGAGACCGTTAGGCGCTGCTTAGCCGAGCTACAGCATCTGGCGAAGTGTTGATCAAAGATAGGAGGGGCACGAGGGAGGGACTGACACGCAAGCATAAGCTTCGTAACTAGCGATCAGAGATAAGAGAACGCATCTAAAGGTAGTGTCAGGGTATTGCGCAAGCGTTGGTGTTGCGTGCGGTTGCAATGCGAGAAGACCGCAGTGTCAGGAGGAAGCGCAGCCAAAGAAAGCATTAGCGTTACCGCTTTGAGCCTAGACATCATCTGCACGCGGGAAGGGTCCACAGATCATCGCAGCTCCTTGTTCACGACATAAACTCGTGCGCCACGCTGTAATCGCACAGCCGGCTCAAGTATTGAGTGATGGAGAACAGTATAGCGCTCTTCTCGTGTCTAGATCTAATGATGCCGACGACACTGACTACACTCTCGTGGCGTACCGCCGCAGAACCCCCTTGACTTTCTTTTTCTTCGCTCTTCTCAACTCACCTCAACGTGCAATCTTCGATGGCCCAACTCTCCTTAACTTCCTTTCCCAATATGGTGGATCCTGGCTCGATTAGAGGAGTCACTA